GTATCATTTTTGAAGGAAGTCTCACAGAAAAGCTTGGTTTTTGAGTTTCGAAGCTTCATTTTTGAAGGAAGTCTCGCAGAAAAGCTTCGTTTTTGAGTTTCGAAGCTTCATTTTTGAAGGAAGTCTCGCAGAAAAGCTTCGTTTTAGAGCTTCGAAGCTCCATTTTTGAAGGAAGTCTCGCAGAAAAGCTTCGTTTTTGAGTTTCGAAGCTTCATTTTTGAAGGAAGTCTCGCAGAAAAGCTTCGTTGTAGAGCTTCGAAGCTCCATTTTTGAAGGAAGTCTTGCAGAAAAGCTTGGTTTTTGAGTTTCGAAGCTCCATTTTTGAAGGAAGTATCGCAGAAAAGCGTCGTTTTTGAGTTTCGAAGCTTCATTTTTGAAGGAAGTCTCGCAGAAAAGCTTCGTTTTAGAGCTTCGAAGCTCCATGTTATCTATCTATCTATCTATCTATATATCTATCTATCTATCTATCTACCTATCTATCTATCGAACGAAGGGGGGGGAGTTTAAACAAAGAAGTAGAATGGAGACAATGGTTTAGTGGAACGCAGGGGGGGAAGTTTAAATAAAGAAGTAGAATGGAAACCATGGTTTGGTGGAACGCAGGGGGGGGAAGTAAATAAAGAAGTAGAATGGAGACCATGGTTTAGTGGAACGCAGGGGGGGGAAGTTTAAATGAAGAAGTAGAATGGAGACCATGGTTTAGTGGAACGCAGGGGGAAGGGAAGTTTAAATAAAGAAGTAGGAATGGAGACCATGGTTTGGTGGAACGCAGGGGGGAGGAAGTTTAAATAAAGAAGTAGAATGGAGACCATGGTTTAGTGGAACGCGGGGGGGAAGTTTAAATAAAGAATTAGAATGGAGACAATGGTCTAGTGGAACGCAGGGGGAAAGTTTAAATAAAGAAGTAGAATGGAGACAATGGTTTAGTGGAACGCAGGGGGGGAAATTTAAATAAAGAAGTAGAATGGAGACATGGTTAGGGAACGCAGGGGAGGAAAGTTTAAATAAAGAAAGTAGAATGAGAGACCATGGTTTAGTGGAACGCAGGGGGGGAAGTTTAAATAAAGAAGTAGAATGGAGACCATGTTTTGGGTGGAACGCAGGGGAAGTGAAAGTTTAAATAAAGAAGTAGAATGAGACATGGTTTAGTGGAACGCGGGGGGGAAGTTTAAATAAGAAGTAGAATGGAGACAATGGTTTAGTGGAACGCAGGGGGGGGTAGTTTAAATAAAGAAGTATAATGGAGACAATGGTTTAGTGGAAGGGGGAAGTTTAATAAAGAAGTAGATGGAGACCATGGTTTAGTGGAACGCGGGGGGGGAATTCAAATAAAGAAGTAGAATGGAGACGTTGTGGAACGCAGGGGTTTAAATAAGAAGTAGAATGGAGACCATGGTTTAGTGAAACGAGGGGGGGAAATTTAAATAAAGAAGTAGAATTGAGACAATGTTAGTGTAACGCAGGGGGGAGGAAGTTTAAATAAAGAAGTAGAATTAGAATGGAGACCATGGTTTGGTGCGAACGCAGGGGGAGGAAGTTTACCAATAAAGAAGAAGAATGAAGACCAATGCTTTATGGAACGCAGGGGGGGAAGTTTAATAAAGAATTTTACAATGGGACAATGGTTTAGTGGAACGCAGGGAGGGAAAGTTTAAATAAAGAATAGAATGGAGACAATGGTTTAAGTGGAACGCAGGGGGGGGAAGTTTAAATAAAGAAGTAGAATGGAGACAATGGTTTAGTGGAACGCAGGGGGGGAAGTTTAAATAAAGAAGTAGAATGGGGACAATGGTTTAGTGGAACGCAGGGGGGGAAGTTTAAATAAAGAATTAGAATGGAGACCATGGCTTGGTGGAACGCAGGGGGGGGAAGTTTAAATAAAGAAGTAGAATGGAGACCATGGCTTGGTGGAACGCCGGGGGGGGAGTGTAAATAAAGGGATAGGGTCGCAGGTGACCGGATAATAGGGTCGCAAGTGACCGGGTAGAATAGGGTCACAAGTGACCGGATAATAGGGTCACAAGTGACCATGGTACCGTTCCAGACCGGACTCATGCCAGCCATGTCAGACCCTTGAAACCATCGATCATTGATATTCAAAAGTGGCAATCAATAGTGTTCAACATCTGACAGATCCTGGTGAATTTTGCAGCCATGTCGCCATGCCTCTGAATGCTTGAATTTAATCCACATGCTTCTTCTTTGCAATCCTTGATCGTATTAGACTTTTGCTTCTATCAGGATCATTCCAGGAACCTTTGTGAATCATGTTTCTATAAGATGTTTCATTGCTTATGTCACACCAGTCACAGTAAATATAGTTCATATAACTTACGTTTTCCGCACAAATCCACATATGAAAGGTGCATCCTTTGCTGTTGATACGGATGAATACATTTACGAATACACCAACACATAACTATTTACGTATGTTCACACACACACACATATATATTATATTGTATTGATATATATATTTATATATATATGTACAAACTACATCAAACAAAAGTCCTTTGGAAGAGGTCTGGAACAAACCCCTTAACGACAACTCCTTGTTCCATACGTCTGGAACAGCGCGTAACGTTCCATACCCGTTTTTCGAGCCATACCCATATGGAAACCATCCCAAAAATGGCCCATCCAGTCAAGTAAGACGTTCGATCGCATCGATGGCCTCATGGGCTGTAGGCCTTGGTCTGGCATGAAGTGAGCGCCAACAATCCACCCTCGGCGCGGGCGTCCCACAAAGCTGTGCTGGACGCACAGCGGCGGATGTTGATTTTTGGTGGCAACGTGGCCGATGGCAGAGTTCACGGTCCTGGCCTTAAAGATGCTGAAGCTTGAAGTGGATGAAAGATGAAAGTTCGTGTGGCATGACATATGTGTCATGAGGATTCATGAGGCGAATTGGTGTGGAAAATTGGGGGAACTGGAATGAACTTGATGAAACCCGCGCTTTTGTGAGGTGAGAGGTTGAATGACTTGCTCTACTTTGACACCAAGGCAGTTGTTTTTTCTCGTAGCCGTGTGTGTGGCTAATCAAATCTTTTTTGGTGATGGCTATGACAGCCGGGATCTACTGTAGCAAATAGGAGTTGGCTCAATATGACTCAATATGATTCAATAGCAACAGAATGTGATACCTTTGCGACACCTTTGGTCCAAGAGGCATTCAACAACCCATCACGTCCCTGCAAATCCCATACCCTAAACAGTTGATTCAACATTGGCTACCATCAATGGCTGGCACCTTTGTCCTTGACACGACCTTTGACATTGATGACCTTGATGGGCTTGATGGGTTCCACTTCCACCATTGGGTGCCCCTGGATGATTCCGCAGGATTCCACCGGGTTCCATAGATCACGGCACTAGAATAGGGTTTACGATGTAGTCGCACTGGTACATATAGTACCATGACGTTTGGTTTTTGTACCAGGATGACGGGTTTCATTGTTGTATCAGATGGTGTAATTATGGTTACTGTAAATCTTCTTCAAGCGCCTTGAAGCCAACAGTTTTGAGTGGATGAATGTCCTAATCTCTAGTAACTTAGTAGCTAGTATATACTCGAGGTTCGTTCGTCATTTGGCACGTCATTTTGACGTGCCGGGTATGTGCCATCCGAAATGGTGTGGTCATGTCAGTGAAGTCGGAGTGTCACCATATGTTACCTATTCAAATCCACGTGCCTTACGTCTGATTTTTTGGATCCATAAGGCTGGCAGGTCCTATTTCTTTTTTAATATATTTGTTACGGTCAAGTTGATCAATGTTCATCAATGTTCATCAATCTTAGTTCATGTTTAGTAGTGTTCATCAATGTTCATCACTCTTCATGATCAGATGGGACAGGAACGTCAAACATCTTCCCACTGATTGCCTTCTTCCTGTAGGTTCGGAAGGCCAAGTGTTTGGCGCATGCATCACATGCACAAGCGTTGGGTATTTAGTCCCATGCATTTGCCTAGTTGTACTGCAAGTATAGGATTGGTCCGTCATGATTGTACAATCTGTAATATGCAATTACGTCATTGTACTGGCTGCTGGTTAAGATGATTTTTTTTTTGAAGTGCATAAATGCAAGAATATAAACCATTGGATTGGTTGAAGTTTGTCACGAATGGCACGTTCTTGAATGTGTTTGATCGGATTTGTTTATTGCGTTTGGCATCAATCTTAAGGTTGGTGTCGTAGAGGCCCCAGATTGGACTGTCCGAAGGATAAGCCTAAAGTGGAAATTCCAGCACTTGGCATTACGCAAATCTTTGCATGAAAATAACCGCCCAGTTTTGGGTGGAAAACCAGCGCTTCGACATCCTTCAAACGACTTCAACCGGAAGTTGGATTGGGTGAACTACATATGGATTATAACAGAGAACATGAGTAAAATTATTTTGGAAGCAGTGATCCTTAATGATGATCTGAGAGATCCAAATTGTATTATTGGAAATATGGCCAGCCATAAGAGAGCACTGTGAGCTGTAGACCTGCTGCCAGGTGGAACCTGGCATCACCACCAGCACCACCACCAGCACCACGACCACCACGACCACCACAACAACGACCACCACTGCCGCGGCCGTGGCGTCGATGGACCCCACCTCGACCCCCACCCCGAGCCCGACCACAAGCGCGACATCCACGACCCCGTCGGCAGCGTGCAAGCTGTTCACATGCCCGTGGGGCTATGTTCGAAAGAACGTTTCACAGATAGCCAACAGATCCAGCAGGACATATCAAGAATGCTGCGAGCCCAGTTGCCAACTCTTTCGATGTCCAAAGGGCCAGACTCAGACCAGCTGGTCGCACGAGATCGCTGGCTCCCAGATAGCATGCTGTAAGGAGATCACAACGGCTGCCCCATCGGTCACGTGCGAGCATTTTCCATGCCCATGGGGCTGCATCCACAAGAACCTGTCGCAGACAGGTGCCGCTGGTCGGAGCTATCAGACCTGTTGATAGGAGCTGTTCGCTGCTGATGTGCCCGCCTGGCCATGAGAAAATCGAAGGTGCTGAGGATTTGCCTGGCAGCACAGAGACTTGTTGCAGGTTGCAGGCGTCAAGTGCGCTGGTGTCATCCAGTGAATCCACCTCGACCTCTGCCAGCACAGATGCTGCTGTGTCATTTGTGGATGAGTTTCTTGGATTCTGAAGCATGAGGATTTGAGGTTTGAATTTATTTGTTCCTGCTGTTGAAAAACACATTCGGTTGGAATGGCTGGGGGCCTTCGAGCTTGAGTTATTCATGGGTTATTCTGCATTGCACTTGAGTGGCTTGGATAGGTTGGCGTTGGCTGGAGGTGTGGCAAGACTGAACCTTCACATTTTAAATGACCTTTAGCAGCCAGGCTTTACAGATTTTAGCAGATTTACGAGATATGAGATGAAGTGGAGATGCAGCCACCGGTTCACCAAAGTGCTTGGTTCGCCTTTCGTAAGCTCCATGGGAGATGGCTGTCACGGTCTAAGATAGCCTAAGTGAGGGACCAGGAGGGACCGGGAGCAACTTGGACTTCAGGCGACTACCAGAGTCAGATGACACTTGGTGGATTTGGCACATTGCAGCTGCACTCCAGGTTATGCACGATCAGCGTGTCCCGGTGTGTGCAGTTCAGTGGCATCAACATGTTGTTGATGTGTAGGGGGTGTTGATGCGATTGAAGAATTTAAGATGTAAGATGTTTACAGTTTTTTCAGGTTGGGATAGACTCAGAGTTTGACGCAAGAAAAGATGGTGCAGTTGGCAGGTTTTTTGCAACATGTTTTTCCCCTCGGAACTTGTCGCAAGGGACATCAATGACGTTTGCAGAGCAGAATAGCCGAGGACCTGCCAGCGAAGAACACATCACACCACGATCAGGAACTTGAGCAACTTGAGCAACCTGAAGCTGGAGCTGACCATGTGCCGCTTGGCTCGTGGCATTTGGAATCAGTTTGACATGTGAACTGGTTAGGAAACGAGTGAAAGATAGTGAAAGATTGAAAGCATTTGAAGGTGCCCCATGATGTATCACCATATGGCCTTACCTTTCTCAGAGTTGACCATGTTCGATGGCCCGATGGCACATTTTCCGCAGGCAGTTGTTTCTTTACGCAGCGCCAATTGCTCCACGATTCTATGACAATTGCTGAAACTTTGTCTTTGATTTCGGTTTTTGTCTTTTGGGCCCACACTTGAGCACCATAAATCATCACCAATCGCATGAAATCAGCATGAACTCCCCATGAAATCAGCATGAACTCCTTGACTCTTGAAGGCTTATCCTTGCCGTGGGGCTGCCACTGCTGCTCGGATATCTCCTCATCACCATAGGCCTTTTATGCCGTCCCATGGGGAAACGGCGAGGCTGGCCTCCGAACTCATTCAGTTGAGGGATGACAGCCATGAGATGCCATGAGATGCCATGAGGACCATAAGACATTCTGACAAGCTTTGCCTAGAGACGGGGGAATCACACTTGAATCTTTATATATCTTTATATGCAGTCAGAGTTTTCTACTGAATAATGCTGCATACATCTGCATACATTGTATGCATGCTTTATGCACATCAAAACCGCATTGTTTTCTGCGATGGAACTGTCCCGAAAAAAATCTGGCTGAATCTGCAGATCTTTGATCCAATGGATGGCATTGGATGGCATTGGATGGCATTGGTAGCGGCTAGCGTCACTATGGGTTAATCTCACATTGAAGCAGCTAGCATGTTTGATAAGCTAGCGTGATACAATGTAGCAATGTTATTTTATATCGTTACACTATCGTTACACATATTCTCCAATTAATTTTCATATGCATTCTATCTTTTTTCAATCAAAGTTGGACAAATCAACCAAAATTGCTTCGCAGCTTCAGCGTTTCTTAGGCGCGCCTGGGATGCAGTTGGACTCCACTGGCGCCGATGGGGAGGCAGTTCCGGGGCACGGTAGACCCACAGATCCCAAAGGTCTGCCATCGATGGACTACATGCGGAATGACTGGAAATCATCTCATCACTATGGTTCAAAACAAGCAGGCCAGCCATTTTGGGGATGATTTCAATTTCATTTATCCTTTGAAATTTGGTCCATCTATATTGGATGGTAGGCGATGGTAGATGGGCACCAGTGATTTGAACCATAGCGGTTCTGAATTTATTTTGAACCATAGATGTGTGGTTTTCTGATATTTTCTTCTCATCTTGTAAGTTGTCAAGTCGTATTCGAGATCATACAAGTCATGCACATCAACCGAGATGGGTCATGTTAGTGGAGAAAACTGACCCGAGACCTCGACAATTTCTCTGAAACCCTTCACTACCCAGAACTAAGCTTTACTAAAGGTTGATGGTTGGTGGGTGATCCTTGGGAGGGGTACCCCAGGATTGCATGAAATATTCACGTAAAAGATGATCGTGTAGCACGGAAGGGTTGGCTACCTGACATTTTCACAATCGCTGGCTATCCAGATGCGATGAAGAACAAATTGTTTCATTGTATTCCTTCCATACACAGATTTTGTATGATTTTGTCAGGTGTTGAAGGTAATATCCGTGAATCACAAATATGATTATTTGTAACAAATACATACATATATATATATATGATATATGTATATATGTATAGAGGTGATGGACAAATCCATCATTTCCAATGTTGACATTCATGAATGACAACTATATTTGCTTCTGATATCCGCTGGCAGAATTTGAGAAAAACAGATTCAACGGGCCTTGCGGTCAAGATAGCAGGTGGCAGGAGTTCACTTTGGAGTTTCAGGTTCAGGTTAAAAGCTTCAAGAGATTCCCCCAATGCATACCAACTGCAAGGGCGTTCCATGAGTGACATGGGAGCGAGAGCTCTTTTCGCTGCCTCGTTCAGGGATCCAAGCCCGATCAATTTCGCGTCACCATTTTGGGATGGTCGGATGAAGATGCCAAGATGTCAAGATACTTCCAAATATCACCCAATGTCAGTATGAATCATCATGAACCATCATGAGTCATCATGAATCATCATCAATAATCATGAATTATAATCAATCGTCATGAATCATCCTGGATCATCCTAGATGATCATCAATCATCATGAATCATGAATCCTTCCACATGCAGCCAGGATGACTGCGGAGTGGCCTCGGGGAAAAGTGCTCGAAGTGACAGTGTCTTGGTCAGACGGTATGGCATCGTAGGCATCCCAGGCCTGGTAGGCATCATAGGCATGGCAGGTACGGTGGCCGAGCAGGGCTACAGAGAACGCTGGCATCTTTACGGCAAAGCACTTCAAGCTCTTGAACCATGTTGAACCGACCAGAAACTGTCACTGTGTTGAGGTGGAGGAAGGAATTTTCTATGCGAATGGTTGCTGCTACACATTCGGGGCTGCTGGCCCAAGCCGGCACTTCGCGTGGGAAGATGGAACAGTCCAACGATTGGAAAGAATTGAGCGGATGCTCTCCTTTAAAGTTTTCACCATCCAAAACATTCCAAAACATGTTTTTTCCTGCAGATGTTTGTTTGAACCAATGGTTGTGTTATGGGGTGGTGCATGACGAATTTTAGTAGTTCTTGGCCAGCATCCGCTCGAAAAAAAAAACACATAGGTCACGCACATCATAGAATCCAGAAACATGTTTTTGTCAATGTGATCTTCCTGGAAATGATGTCCTCCACGACTTTTTTGATTTCCGTCTTCCTATGTAAAACTCTTCCAATATTGAAAAAAAACATGCCATACTTATGAATCTTATGATGTATTCGTATATTTTTTGCTACAATTCAATTGATGCCTTAAATTCGCAAAGCTGCGAGGAACGTCGCGTGGTGGAGCACCCAGCATGAGCTCCTGGCTTGGCGAGAATTTAGGCGGGAGTATGAAGCAGTTTTGGTTGGTGATAGATGATCCAATTGCTTGACTCATACTTTTCCAGCGGGGGTTGAAACCACTTGCCCGATTGGCTGCACATGACATGTGATGAAAGGCAAGCCAGCGAAATAGCTGCAAGTTGAGCAATAGGGGGGTTGCAGTTTCAAAGATAAGGCTGCACGTCGAGAAGGGATTTGGCACCTGGATTCGGAAACAGAAACAGACTGACTAGCTGATCCGGTTGGAGGTTTCAGTCACATGTTCTACTTTCCATCCTTGGAACAACGATCCTATTCGACATAGCTGACAATGATAGTTTCATACATATTTTCACATATGTTTTCCAGGTAGGTGCCTCAACCACCTGTAAGAAACTCAGGCATCAAACCTGTCAGCAGTCCACTTTGCAGCGATCACTCGGTCCACTTCTTCACTGAAAGTCGTCAGGTGGATCTGTGCCCCACAATGCCACGTCGAAGATCACGATGGTCACGACATGGAGCTCACAGATCTGACGGGTTTAGATGGCTACAGATCCTTTGATGGGAAAAATGTGGGGAGCATGTCAAAATGTGCAGAATTTGTCGCGATGATGTCAATTTGGATGTTCATTTCGATTGCGATTTTGATGTCAATTTTGGTGGCGATTTTGATTGCGATTTCAACATCAATTTCGATGTCAATCATTGTTAGTCGTGTTGCTTCTCGGCAGGCGAAAGTCTTTGTGAGACAATATCAGTCAAGATCGGATATTCATCATGTAAACATATGTAAGCATTTGCCAACTGTTGCCTCCTCCGGACGGTTCAGCTGAAAGCTTCTGATGCCAAACGCTGTTTGAGGATGCAAGTCGTGTTCCCGGCCTCAAGCTGCCGATCAGCACTGGCACTGCCCACTACATGATGTGCCCATCAACCTGACATGAAACTGACAGGACAACTGATGGGATGACATCAGATGACATCGGATACAAACGAGGGGTGAAGGTCATGGTGATTAATATGGTGATGCAAAATTGGCCGACAGCTCTTCCTGTAGCAGATTTTAAGTAAAAAGACACTTCCAGACATAGCCCGACAGCCATCCATTGAGCCATCCCCTGGGCCATCCCGAAAAACAGGTGCATTTGTGTCCAAGTTGCGCATAAGTGCCACCAAAAACACCAACCTTGGGTGTGGCAGCCACGTACTTGGTGAACATTTTCCCGACTTTGGCTTCTCGCACCTTGATGCAAGGGGATGCCAATGGATTTCGATGGATTTCGCTTGAGAAATTGATGAATTTGGATGGCGGTAAGTCAAAACTACACGCAAATTTCGGGTATTTTGGGTAAATTTTGGGTTCAATTTCCATCCCAAACAGGGGCTATGTAACCACAGCTAACCTGTTCATTCTTACTTGGGCGCGGGGATGGTGCTACGATATCCAGGGTCTGGCATATTTTTGGGCACGTAGCATGCAAGTAATGATAGCTTTATGATCTTTATGTACCTATAGGTATTGTGTTATCAAATTAACGCATGTGCGTTGGGGTGAAAGGTGAACGAACATGAGACAGCCAGAGACACAAGAGCATGGCTGTGACTATCTCTTCGCTCGATTTCGCAGTGAGGTGCAGCCGCCAAAGAGGATCCGAACTTCCATGAGATTTGTCCACACTTGGCGCATGGCCCGAGTGGATACTTGCCTTCAGATTCGTTGGATGGCAATGGTCTTGTGTTGCCATGGGTGGAAGGCGAGTGGTACGAATGAGTTGCATATGATTCCAATGGGTTTTTGCGCATGGAGATAGGGAAGAAGTACGAAGAAGTCACAGGTGTTGAGATATGTTGGAGATTATCATGGAACTATAATAGCTATATGGCTATGGGTGGAAACCTATGGTCCATGTTGGGATGATTTCCATCTATTATAGTCTCTTTTAGGTGGTAGCCAAGAGTGCCATGGCCATATGGAACTCTCCGCAGTTTTAATTCCCTCAGACCCATGCATAGTTGCGTTTGAGATCGCTTGAGCCTTTGCGGCACTACAGACTTGACGATGACTTGACGATGACTTGACGATGACTTGAGGTATGGGCTTCGACAAGATGTGTCCCAGAGATGGCAGGCCACACTGCAGCATTGTGGATGCCCTTGAGGACGCATACAGTGGCCGCTTGGTCAACATCGTCACTAGATGTCACCGGAAAGGTGATGGTGATGTTATCATTCCAATCATGATATTCCCTTGCTGAAGTCCAGCGGGCTACTCTGAATTGTGTTGCTGGCAATGTTCTGAATGTTCGGCCCTGATCCGATGGAAGGGAAGTTTGACAATTGGAGTCTTGGAAACAATTCCATCATTGAGCGTAAATATGAGATGTTTCGTGTGGTTTTAAACCTGCATTGTTTACGGATGGTTGCAAAAATCGGGTGAAGGCCAACGGTACGTCTTCCTCTGGATGTGTTTCTTTTGTAACAATCAATATCGGATCAAAGAGGAGGTGCCGCGCGGGACGAGAAAAACATGACATGCCTTGATCTTGGTCAGGCATGTGAGGCCTTTGACAATTTGAATCAGGGGTCCTGATATGTTCTGATGGGTAGCCTTCAAGTGGAGCCCCAAAAAATTGCAGAAGGTTTTTTTTTTTGGCTTGTTTTACGTTTATGTAGTGGTTTTGATTGATCTCAATTCAAAGCCAAACACCGTTTGCAGACGATTGTTTTCTTTTCTCAGATTTAGTATTGATGTTAAGTCATTATGATTCGCAGCACCAACTATGCTTGGCACAAGTGATGCATTTCCAAACGCATTTTGGAAGAATTTCCATTGGTTTCGTCCATGGTTTCCTTCCAGCTTGCTTTTGTCATCAGATGTCATCAGCTCTTCTTGAGCAAGTAGACTACGAACCTGGAACTTTCAATCCGGATCAGGTTTTCAACGATTGGGATCAATAAATTAGGTCATCTCAGGAGTCGTGTCAAAGTCTCAAGAAATGTTCTTTCCTTGCAACAACAAAAGTGGTCTCCTTAAGAAAACTATATAAAATGAACAAAAACATCACAATTCAGAACCTGCTGATCAAGCCCCAGCATCCGGCACTATTTGTGACAAACTTGTTACAACTAGGGACTGAATCAAGATCCGACAATATTATCCGTACATGTTGTCTACCGGTTATATATATATAATATATATATATATATATTACAGTATTTGTTTCATTGGTCCTTAGCGATGTCTTTTGTTTTCTCAATGACCTTCCACCCTTGATTTTCGTGCATGATATTGTCCTTTGTGCGCAAAAGTCGCAGGTAAACACCAATGCCAGTATCGGGTTGATCCACATGCAAAGGTTTGTATTCAACTTGCGACGGCCACATGTTCCTGCTCACCAGATCTCACTGAGAGTTTGGTGCTTTGACCGGAAGATCTTATGGGTTGAAGGTGAGTAATTTAACATATTTTGGGTGGCCACGGGTCATGGCACCATGGTAACTACCATCCAAACTAGACAATACAGAATTGAAAACATATCAAGAATAGTACCATATAGGTTTTGAACTATGCGCATGTCAGATAGATTTCCTCTTCATCTCAAGCCCCAGTGAGCTTTTTCACCACTAGACCATTACCCCAACCATTGCTGCAACCCGTGGAGGCCTGTCAGACGGGAAGCGAAGATCTGAGGGACATCTTCGAGTCGCATCTGGTGGAAGCCGGAAGGATGTTGGTGTTAATGGACACCATCATGTCAGGGCCTTGGATGATCTTAGATGCGGGTATGATCTACACAATCTACACACACATGTATATACTGTATGTAGGTATATATATATACATATGGCCACCCCCGCCAGAACCCCCCACCACATGCTGTTTGTACTGGTATTTATACTTTTTACCGTTATTACAGAAGGTATTCGGGAATTATTTCAAATAGAAGATGCATTTTGGGGGTGCGGCAGAAGATATTGCAGAGTGCAAAAGTAGCTCAAAAGACCAAAAATCCAACAATAACCCCCTCAACATTGGGATGATCTTTGCAATATTTTCTATTTGAAAATCTTTTGTCCCACTGCCATTTTTTGTGATTTTTGCAGGGAAATTATATGAAATCAATAGAACATTGATGCCCGGACCCGGGTGACCCCCCGAAGAGGGGAGTGCAAAAGTACCTCCCGAAGTGGGACCCGGCCGGAGGTACTTTTGCACTCCCGCCTTCGGGGGGTGGTCGGTGAAAAACTGTTCAAAAACCGTTGGTGTTTTTTGCTTTTTTGATTGGGTGACGGTGATTCAAACCACTTTTCAAATAGAAGATAATCTGAAATGCTATTTTTTTTTAAGAAGATATTCGAGGAGTAGTGAAAAACACTTTTCACATAGAAGATAATATTTCATGATATTTCATGAGGGAATCCAGAGTTCCACCAAATTGTTTTCAAATAGAAGATATTCGTTTGTAACCCCATGAGTTCGACAGATCCCAAATGCATGAAAAACAATTTTCAAATAGAAGATATTGCAAAGATCATCCCAATGTTGAGGTTTCTTGTTGGATTTTTGGTCTTTTGAGCTACTTTTGCACTTTGCAACCC